TGTTTCTCCACAACAACAACAACTTTGTGAGGTGGGTTAGATTGAGAGAGTAACAAGCCCAAAATCACTCAGCTTGCTTTGATGCCTAAGGATGCCTAACACTCGCAGCCTCTTGGTTTCTAGGCTGCTACACTACACCAAACTCAATAAAAGTTCTCACAGGAAGATACCAAGGTTGCAAAACATCTGAGACAAATAACACACTTGTTCTTAATGAACTCCTTGCAGACTACCTTCCCCGTTCCCCCAGGAGTTTTGTATCCCCTCACTTTTTATTGTTAGCCGCCCTAAGTCTCTCAGGAATAGGGCTGCATACAAACTTAATAAATGAATGAAATGAAATGAGTTTCAATATATGTTAAAGAGAAGCAGAAGAAAGCAGAGCCTTTAGCCACTTCATAGAGTAAGGTTGTCCTTCCATCACATTTGAAACTGGCCCTTCAGGAAGGAAGACAACTACTGCAAGATAATGGCCCCTGCAGTAGTACTGACATCCAATGACAGATCAAGAAGGATCATATTGTACTCCCCAAATCCCAATTTCTCAGTAGGTTGTCCATAAGCATGACTAATGCAAGCATGACTGCTGTACCTTGCCCTTAAACTTGGCTCTGTAAGTCCAAATAATTCCCTTCCTTTAGGTCTCAGTGGAGCTGTGGGCCCACCATTCTCTCTATACACGCTCCCAGAAAGATCTGAATTGTAGACAAATCTGAAATGTTCCAGAACAAATAAAACAGGAGTGACAGAACAGCCCCATCACAGAAAGAAGCATTGATTATTACTTGACTACAACTTCCTGCCATCTCATCAGAGGCTTCTACCAATCATCCAAGCAGGAAATGATGGAAGTGACTCTAAAGAAAGCCCTCATGATTCACAGGTTCAAAATGATCCCAGATCACAAGACAAAAGCCCCAGTCACTTCTACTGATACTGTCCTGTTGGATTTCATCTCTCTTTCATTACAACTTGAATGTGAATCCCAGAAAGAAGCTCACATTGTGTATACAATGCCTTGAAGCTTGTGGTAACTCCTCCAATATAAATTGAAAAGCTCTGAAATATATTCAGAAGCTCCAAAGAAAAGCTTTTGTTTTTCATACATAATTCTTCCATTTTTTCAGCCTGGCTTTGTTTTGTTTTCTATAAGCTTCTTGGTACTATTGTCTCTCCATAAGCACTATTGTATTTGATCCAAGAATTCCTCATCTTCCCCGATAAATTGGGGGATGGACAGGTTCACGTCTCACTTCTTTACTTTTCTTCCAGGAAAGCAGTCAACCTGCTACATGTGTAGTTCTTGTCTTCTCCAGAGAAGAAAGAACACATGTCCCCAACAAGTCATGAGACCAGTTCTCTTTGTCTATGCCTCAGATAAACAGAAGGGAGGGAAGGAAAACAAATCTGGTTAAGATCCTCAGTTATATTCTACAAAACAGCCATACAAAACACCCAATGAATTCTCCCTGTCATTGGCTTTTGAGAGGAACCGTCAGTGAACTTTGTCACCAAATTTTTGTTTGTTTTCCCTATTTGCTCACTCAGTAATTTTGTTATTTCTAAAACAGATATCTTCCCTTGATCTTTACTAAGGAGCGAATGAGGTTCAGCACAGTTGAAGGGCATTGAGTTGGGGAAAGTTATTTTAGAAAATGTGAGAATGGATTGTCCTGCTAGAAATTCAGCTTGCTAAGATGAAGCTGATATATGTGAAGCTAATATATATGAAGTTAAGTGTAAATGGAATTTGATTTTTTACATAATCCACTCTTTTTTAGTCAACATTATAAAAAGCTCATGTGTTAACTTATTTGTTTCAGTGACTTGCTTGCTCTCAATCTACCCAAATGCTACTTAAAATGAGTTGATATAAATCTTTCTTTGTTGTTATACCGAGCCTGATAAATATATTTTGAGTTTCTTTCAATGTGTGGAACTCAAGGTTGTAAACAAGCAGTTTGAAGGATTGTATGCTATTAATCCTCTAGATTTAGAAGATATAAGAAGAAGCATATTTAGCACTTAGTAAACGCTGACACATCTTTCAATAAAAGGGTATTTTCTGTTCTCAGAAATCTCATACAGAATATTCTGTTGTAAAAATCCTTAATCTGAATTCTAATGTAACAAATACTTTAATATTGAAATAGTTGCTTTTTTCTTGAAAAACATATAATAGCAGCGAGGTAGAGGGGCAAGTAATCTTGCATAATACATCTGCTATTTTGAATCTACACCCAATCATTCAAATGATTGCTCAAGTTGTATCTTCTGCCAAGGAATGCAGGGCTATTGTTCTCTTGGCTCTCTTTGTAGAGTTTGATTCCATTGACCATGATGTCCTTTTGAATGATTAAAATTGCAATGACTTCAGACCTTTAGTTAGTTAAACTGACATAATGATGTTGGGAGCTTCTACTACATGGATTTTGAGGTGCCACAAATTTAATCCTCTCATGCTTTTCCATTTTTCTGTGAAGATATAGAAAACAATCATTTGAAGACTTAGATAACACATTTGTTAATAATAGACAGGAATTCCTGAAGTATGATCTAAAAGCCAGTTTGGAGTGGAGGGGGGGAATGAGAGTTAACATATGGAAAATATACAGGAAATAGAAAACTTAGCTATTGTACATAGGAGTTCAGCCATTTTGGGTTGAACTTGCATAACTCATAAACAGTTTAAACAGTTTATCACTTGAGTACTATCCCACATTTGGTTCTATTTCTGGGAATCCTGATTAGCATAGATTCACGTATTCATTTTGTGTTCACACTGAATTTTGACATTATGCTGGTGGTTATTCGTCTGACATACTGTACCTGTACTATTACTCTGCTGGTTAATTACCCTCTCTCAAACCAAATATAATATTTTACCTATAATATTCTCCCAAAAATGCATGTTTTTTTTTAAAGTTTAAAAATGCAACAGAAAAAGGGAAACATGGAACAAAGTATCTTTCCAATATCAGGTTTTTTTGGCAATAGTAAGGGCATTGAAAATCTATTTGTGTTGTCCAGTTATCAAATTCCATGTAAGAGATATGTAATGCAACAGAATATTATTCTTTAAAAATTTTAGTTGTTGTTGCCCAATCATATTAATATAGTCCACAATTTTCTCCCAAAATATAGTAAATATTGGACATTGTAAAAACATGTGTTTTAAAGAAGCATTATTCTTATTATTTCTCAAACAAAATGCTATCTCTTTTTTGCAAGTTATGTTTTTGCATAAAATTTATTTTAACAGTTTGTTCCTTTTCTGTTATTTTAAAAGCAATAAAATGTAAATGTATTAAAAATTACCTATAATATTACTGTATCCATAGACCCAACCGTTCTCAGTAACTGTTGACCAGTCTTTAAATTTCCCTTTTGAGGGAAGGTTTTTGAGAAGGTGGTCAGCCTACAGCTGATAAGAACCTAAGAAATTGATTATCTAGACATGTTTCAACCAGGTTTCAGGCTGGGATTTATTGCTAAGATAGCTTTGGATAGATTGGCAAACAATGGGACATCCCATCAGTGGCTGGAAAGGGCCGCCACTGATCATAGCTGCACAAGAACAGGCACTAGACACCAGAGGCATAGAACCAAAGGTTTACCACACCAAATAAGACCTGTGGCCCAGACTATGCAAAGAGGCCTCAAAGAATTCCAAGAAATAGTTGCAGGGTAAAGATATAGGCAGGAACACCATACATTGAAATGACACTACCAAGTAGCTGGCATTGTAAACAGGAACACCCTCACAGTATAAGGGCTAGATACTCCTAAATCCAGATGGGAAATTCCACAGAAGGTTGTGGAGAATAACAGGGCTAAGATTCTGTGGAATTTCTAGATCCAGATGGACAGGCAGGTACTGGTCAATCAACTGGGACATATGGTGGTAGACTAAGGACCAGAAGACAGCAGTAATGATAAATGTAGTGGTGCCAAGAGATAGCAATATCAGAAAGAAAGAGTATAAGAAACTGGAGATATACCAGCGCATAATGGGGGTGGAAACTAGAGGTGATATGGAAAGTAAAGGCCAAAGTGGTCCCAGTGGTGGTAGGAACACTTGGGTCTGTGACTCCTAACCTGGAGAGTGGCTCCAACAAATCCCAGGAAGAACGCAGTGTGAGGAAACAGCTAAGATACTGCACAGAAGCTTCAAACTTCCACATCTCTGGTAGAGGACCCAAGATTGAGGAAGACATACCACCCATAGGGGTGAAAAGGGAAACTTTTTTAATATATAGTTTTTATTAAAACATTTTTAAAAGAATAAAAACAATACACTTATGAAAGTATGAAGAAAAATAGTAAGGAAAAAGTGGAAAGAAAGAAATAAGAGAAGAGAAAGTTCTAAATAAGCAGCTTCCAATTTTCTTAACAGCTGTTAAAAGTACATTTGTATTCTGTAGGTAGTGTTGCTTCTAAAAAGTTGAATTCAAATGTTTGATGGTAATACACCCCCCCATACAATTCACGTTGATAATATGAATAACTTGCTTTTTCACTTGATAGTGTACTTGGTTCATAAAGTGGAAATAGTTGTGCTTATCTTTTATTTCCTATATGAGAATGAATGCTGGTATATGTTCATACTTTGATCTGTCAATGCCACATAAATCAACTGTCTGGATTGAGAAGAAAATAAAACAGTTATTAAACATTTGTAGACTTCTAAGAGATAAAATATGAACATTCATATTTCTTCAATATGAAGAAAACATTCATATTTTCTTTCAGACTCCCATCTGTTATAGCTTACTATTCATTTGAAATTGTAACGTTGGAATTATTTTTCCACTGCACTGAAGTAAATCCATCCAATTTTAGACATATATTATAGTCAGAATGCAAAACAACCTTGTTTGTGAATTTAAGGTTCTAACAGGATAGCGAAAGTACTTTTGGAGCTAGCAACCATTTCGGACAGAAGATGCTTGTGTCCTGCCTGAAAGGCTGTTGATTTTTGTATGTTATTTTGTCCACAGAAAAGGCTACAAATGAGTACAACACTGTTGAAGATTGGGCAGTTATTATGGATATTTGTGACAAGGTTGGAAGCACTCCTAATGGGTAAGACCCACCAACATACCTTGAATGTTATTTTGTAAATGCTCTGATTAATTTGTGCCTTCTGCCCAGATCTGACATTTTAAGCATATATGCATATTTATACCGTGTTTCTCCAAAAATAAGACAGGGTTTTATTTTCTTTTGACCCCCTGAAATAAGCATTTGGCCTTTTTGGGGGGGGGGGGACATCTTATTATTTATGAGGTGCAGGATGTGGCGAGTGTGGTCACCTTATGGCTGCTGCTGCTTTGCAATATTTTTTGGGAGGGCTTATTTTTGGGGGGCAGCTTATTTTAATGCACATGTTCAAAAGCCCAATTGGGCTTATTATCCAGGGAGGTCTTATTTTCAGGGAAACTGTGTGTGTGTGTGTGTGTGTGTGTGTGTGTGTGTGTGTGTGTGTGTACACACTTATTCATAAACATACATATGCATACCCACCAACACACATACTCCCAGACACAGAGTGATTATGCTATATTATCTTGTTTAAAAGGTTGTGGGGAGAAGTAGATCCATTTTATACCAAATCAAAACGTATACTTTAAAACTATGTCCAGAAGAGAAAGTAGATTTCGTAAGTGTTATGAAGAAGGACAACCAGTCAGTCCTAAGGGGAATATAAATAAAAACAGTCTGCTAATCATTACTTCTATGGTCAGAAACTGGTTGTTACTAATTTCCATTGTTAAGGTTTTTTTTTAAAAAAAAATCACATGAAATGCTTTTGGTTAGACTGAACTAAAAAAGTAAAATGTGGATAGTTGAAAGGCATCAGTGTCTGCTTCTATTTGAATAATAAAACAAGGATTTCAAGTAGTAATTAGCATGCCAGACTGTTTGGCTTGTAATTGTGTTTGTGTGTTGTTCTATAGGTTACTGCTGTCTAAACTAGACACATTAAACATTTCCAGACTGACCCTTTCACATTATCTTTTGTATCAACATATAGAAAGGTAACAGGTTTGCCTCTTGTTGATTGCTGCTACAATGTCTGTGCTCATATGGGCCCTGTAAAAAATTGGAACTTAGCCATTCATAAATCCCCAGGCATATAGAACCTAAGTTAGTATACTCTGTACACATGCATTCAATCAGATAGGCTAGTTAAGGAGAGGGACGGCACATATTTATTGTCCTTCTTGACAGCTACTGGTAGCAGTGTTACTCCTCCCTCTTTCTCCGCCCCTTCTAGAGTGGCAACGTTAATTTTCTTTTTCACACTGTCTTATTTCCCCAGACTGAGCTCATGTTTTGCTAACTGCTACACTCCTTCATCACAACCATTTCCATGGCTCTCTACAGTAGACATTGGAGTCACACCAATTGCCATGTTATAGCAGCTGTTGTGTTTTTTAAACTAATGTTTTATGCCTTGGTTTATATGCGAATTCAGTTACAATTTAGTTTGTTTATTGAACTAATGTGGAAACCCTGAAAAAATCAGAAAACTGGAAAATAGCATTGGATTGATATAACAAACCATGATTCAAACTGAAGTGTTGAAATACTTAAATGATTGAAAGCTACCTATTTTATCCTGGATGTTTGCTCTTAGAGAATTATTGAACTGATTGTGGCTTGCTTTGCAGAATATGATTGGGTTTCGCAGTTGAAGTATTAGAAGTGGATCTTCCTCTTGTGTCACTAATAATAAAATGATCCCCAAAGCTCTTTCTTCAATGTCTTCTTTCTAGGACTTTTTGTTCCCTTTTAAGTTATTAAAATATCTGACACAGATATTATTTTATCTAGAGCAAAAGACTGCCTCAAAGCCATTTTAAAGAGAGTAAATCATAAAGTACCCCATGTTGCACTGCAGGCACTAACTGTAAGTATGCGCATACTTTATTCAGGGGTGAAAATTCTTAGGTTCATAAAACAATTCTTGTAAACTTTTTAAAATAAATTAAACTTGTTGATATTAATGACTAAAATAATATTTATCTTATTTATTTATTTCTCAATATTACTGGCCTGTTTTCTTCCTAGCCAGTGCTAGGTAGGGAGTGGGAGGGCAGGGATTGATTAGGATCAATATCTTTATAACATATGTGCAGCTTTTTGCTATTCGTTGTGAATGGTCTCATTTATTCAATTCTGTCTTCATTTTGTTAGCTGTTGGGAGCCTGTGTATCAAACTGTGGAAAGATTTTCCACTTAGAAATCTGCTCGCGTGATTTTGCCAGTGAAGTGCGTGTCATAATAAACAAGGTGAGGTTTTTAGATGTATCATATTTAGAGAAAATTAATAGAAAAGTACATTGATTGTGTCACCACGCTTATGTTTTGTATTTCTAGTATTAACTTAGAATATATAAATGAAATAAAAAAACCAATACGATCTGTGATATAAATAGAGAAGGTAAAACTACAAAATTATGGTGTTATACTTGGGAGATTTGCTTTAATCATGAATATTACAAAGAACATTGAATTTTTGCAATTTCTGAACTGACAGCTTCCTCAGAGGAACAACAGATTGTAAAGAAAGGTTGAATATTCTCCTATGCTGTGTTAGAGTTAAAAAATACAGGAACATTTCATAATCATTTGAACAGTGAATTATGAAACTGGCGGAGATACATCATCAGTGTTTAGAATAGTACTGTCAATGGGGGAAGCCAGATTTCATTTCATTTCATTTCATTTTTATTATATTTATATGCCGCCCTTTTCCCCCGAAGGGGACTCAGGGCAGCTCACAAATCAAATCAGGGAAGGGAGGGTACAGACAAAAAATAAAAAAATGAAACATAACAATACATAATTTAAAAACACACAACAGTCATATCATTCGAGATGGGGGCAACAGCTCTTTAGCCCCAGGCCTGTCGGAACAGCCAGGTTTTAACGGCTTTGCGGAAGGCCTGGAGGGTGGTGAGGGTTCGAATCTCCACGGGGAGTTCGTTCCAAAGGGTCGGAGCAGCCACAGAGAAGGCTCTCCTCCGGGTAGTCGCCAGTCGACACTGGCAGGTGGATGGAATTCGGAGGAGGCCTAATCTGTGAGATCTAATCGGTCTAGTGGAGGTGATTGGCAGCAGGCGGTCTCTCAAGATTTGCTTAATCGGCACAAAGTTCATTTAATTGTAGTGATTTGCTTCACACCATGGTGACAAAGGTCGTAAAATTGGGCATGGCTCATTTAACTGCCTTGCTTAGCAATAGAAATTTTGTTGTAAGTCAGAGACTACCTATAAATAAAAACAGAACCCAGTGTCACTTAGTGGGGGGAGATTGTGGACTGTATAGAGGCAGTATTGTTTTGACAACATTTAGACTGCAGAAGGTCAGCCAAAAAGATAAGGAATAAGCAGGGTAATGTAGGGTCTCAATTTGTACCCACTGAGGTTTGTTGGAATATTACACAGGTATTGGAACTATACAATTGGTTAGATCCAGAGCTACTGACATCATTCCTTGTCCCCAAATATCTCATGAGGTGCCTCGTGGGACAACTCGGGAGATTGTGGAGTTTCTGTCACTTAAGGGGCTTCCCAGAAACCATCAGCCTCTCAATTCCTTCCTCCCCAGTTCTTTCTAGAGATTTACTGCTTATAAGTCAGTATGGCTATGTGAGGGATGTAGCTTATATTGACAGCTGAATTGTATCTATCTGTAAAAAAGACTTTGCTAGAGAAATGCCAATTGTTTGGGTCCAGATTGCTGAAAAGAGGAAGGAGAATTAAAAAAAACAACTTTGTGCTGAAGTGTTAGGTTACCCAGTTCATTTATCTGAACTGAGAACTGGTAGAAATGGTCTCTTCCTGGAGCCAACCTGAGATAGGCTATATTTGGAGCCTAGGAACTGGCTGCCAAGTTGGTTGGGCAGTTCCTTTATATAGGCCTACCAAGAACTTTATTTATTTCTGCGTTCGTATTTATGTCCTGCCTTTTCTTCAGGAGCTCTGGGCAGCATACATAGGAGCGTCTTCCAATATATCCTCACATTAACTTTATGGGGCAAGCTGGGCGAAAAGGGAGCAACAGGGTTAAATCAATTTTTTCGTGGCTGAGGATGGACTTGAATATGGGCCTCTCTAATGCCAGTTCAACTCTTTATTCACTACATCACATCAGCGCTCATTGGTTTTTAAATTGTGAAGCTAAGTCTTTTAATCTCTGTATTAAAATACATGTCATCATACAATGGTCAGCCATCTCTAATATCATTTTTTAAAATTTTCTGTTAAACATGTCAGATTGTAGGTTTTCTTTGGACAACCAACTTCTTTGGCAGTTTGTTTTGTCAACTATTTAAAGCTAATTTTGCTTCTCCTATTGTGCTTTCTTGCTTAGGCACACCCTAAAGTATGTGACAAATTAAAAGCTTTAATGGTAGAATGGTCAGAAGAATTTCAGAAAGACCCCCAGTTCAGCTTAATATCAGCCACCATTAAATCTCTTAAGGAAGAAGGGATTGTGTTTCCTACAGCTGGGACACAGGTAAGAGGTTAGAATTCATTTATGCCTATAAAAGTTTGGGGATTTGGTGCTAACAGGAGAATGACTGAATTTAAATTTTGAATGTGAGCTCTATCCACATTTTAATGGCATATACCAATAATTTCTCCCCCACAAGCACTCTCCACACTGGGGCTACAGAGCTGGGAGATGCTCTGTGGTGCACAGGGCAAATGGGCCTTGGGATGAGTAGAAGGTCATAATATATTATTAAACCTATTATCTAATATGCACAATATGTATGTAAGATTATTTGCTCATAAACACTGTTAACATTGATTGGAGACTTTGCAGAGTTGGATTACTCTGTGTGTTGAAGTGAAAATGATTACTATAGACCAGCGATGGCAAACCTTTTTTGGCTCACGTGCCATAAGTGGGGGGAGCGCAGGGGGTCGTGTGTGGGCGTGCCACACCCATAATGCAATGTGTGACCACCCCAGTGCGCATGGGCACATGACAGGTGCTCCCCCCCATTTTTTGCATGCTTTTTTCGCCCTCCCCAGGCTCCAGAGGCTTTGTAGGAGCCTGGGGAGGGCGAAAACAGCTTCTCTTGCCCCCTCGGAGGCCCTCCGGAGGCTTCAGGGACCTTCAGGAGGCTTCCCTGAAGCCTCTGGAGGGCAAAAAACGACCCTATGAGAACACCAGAAGTGCCATAGGTTCACCATCCCAGCTATACTGTAGACTGTTAATTCTGCTTTTGAAAATGTGCAGAAATAGTTTTCAGATCTAAAATGCAGTTGTATTAAATGAAGCAGGAAAATGGCATCATCTTATAATATTTATGTTGTTTAGATTAGGAACTGTTCTGTACCAAATCCAAATGTATAAGAACAGATATACCGCAGTTTTAAAAACAAGGACATATGGTTTAGCCATATTGGGCTGTTTGAATAGACCTGGCAAGTATCAACAGCCATTTATTGTGAAAAAATGACTTAAATCTAATAGGCAGCATATGTGGGCAATAAGCTGACATTGTAAACTGGTCAGAGAGTGCTGTGTTAAGTATTGTGGAGTGGTATATAAGTCTTAAGCGCCATTGCTGTTATTATTAATAGTCGATATGTGACTTTGGTTCATTCCCAAAAATGGTAACTGCTCTGAGCACCTGTTGGGTATGATTTCCATGTTTTCTGACTTTAAACAATTAAAAAATACTTACCACAAGGTAAGCTAAAACAACACCAGTATTGTTTTCAAAGTGCAGGCAAATATAGAACTTTTCCCACTTGAAGTAGCATGTTTATATTGCAAGTATATTTACAGAGTCCCTCAGCTGTTGCCAAGAATGGTGCATCATCAGGCAAAAACAAAGAAGAAGAAGATATAGCTAAAGGTAAAACTTTAGTCACCAATTCTTGAGTGATACAATATTTTACATGATTCTAAGTTTGTACTTGTGAACATGCTTGATGGTTAAAATATGTGACATTCTCCATTGAACACTAATTCAAATCCTTGCTATATAGCCAGTAATAACAAAGGAAAGTTTGAACAATTATATTTTTTAAAACTTTGTGAAGGAAGCAAGGAAGCTATAAAGGAAACAGATGTATATATCAGCAAATGCATTTTTAAAAATGCTTTTAATCTCCTTGGAATTCTAAGGATGTTTGCCATCTCTTAAAACAATTTTCCAAAAATATTACCATTTTATATTACAACTGGCACTGCTATTTTTAAATATTTTACACATATTTAGTTTTGAGTTATTAGATGTTCATAACTCTAGCTAACAAATAAAATAATAAGTATAATTCTCTGAGGTGGATTTAATTTTATTTACATAATATAAATTGTGTATGGATTTCCTCAAAACAGTTTTTAAAGAATTCTTGGCTTATGCTTTGTGTATTGAGTTTCTTGTTGCTTGCTGGTTTTGAATATTTTCATCTTTTTGCTTTGTTCAATTCATACGCTAGAAACTTTTGTCAAAGAAAATTTTACTCATATTGACCATATTAGAGACATTAATGCTCTAAGAACAATGCCTGACTTAAAAATGCTTTTAATAGCTGTATGTGATTTTCTGGTCACTGAGAATTCACACCAAAATGATGGCACTTAATCACTCAGACTGCCGTGGTAATTCTGTTCAAATCCTGCCTTCTGAAGAAACTCCATATACGTATATTTGGGTGGATCATAAACAGGTTCAGTCCATCTCTAAGCAGTTTAGGCTATGGTTAATTTATGCCTTATTTAATAAATATAAACATCTATATTAATTTTACTACAGTACTTTAAGGTGATGAATTTGTACATAATCATAACTACTTGTATGGAAGGCTGCAACCTATTTTGTCTTCCTCCTCCTAGTTATACTGTAACAACAACTAACTTCCTCCCTTGACAACCTCAATTTTCAATCTATAGTAGGGGTGATAACATTTAGAGCAGTTAGCACCTTGTTTCCCACAATCAGCAGAGCTTGGATGTATTGAGTGGCTAGATTCAGTCATCTTGATAAGCTTAACTGTGGTTTATTGAGTAAGACATGGCTGAATTCTGCATGACAGCTTTCTTGGGTTTTCCGGAGCAGGTTTACAAGTACAGTTTTTGGAATGTTCAATTACATTCACAGATCATCTCATCCAGAATTAGCTATATGTATAGGTAGTCCTCGAGTTGCGACCACAATTGAGCCCCAAATTTATGTTGCTAAGTGAAACATTTGTTAAGTGAGTTTCCCCCCATTTTACAACCTTCCTTGCCACAGTTGTTAAGTGAATCATTATTGTTGTTAAGTTAGTACTCCGGTTAAGTGAATCTGGCTTCCCCATTGACTTTGCTTGTCACAAGGTCGATCACATGACCCTGAGACACTGCAACCATCATAAATATGAGTCAGCTGCCAAGCATCTGAATTTTGATCACGTGACCATGGGGATTCTGCAATCGTCGTAAGTGTGAAAAGCAGTCATGTCACATTGAATGTCACTAAATCAACTGTTGTAAGCCAAGGACTATCAGTAAAGAGTTCTGAATGTATAGTTCTTTGTATAGTTTTGATGCCCGAAGCTAAAATCAAATGAAAAGACGCTTATTTGGAACATTTTAGAGAGCTTTGTGCTACATATCAGGACATGCAAGTAATTCACATAATTTTAACTGGCATAAAATGTGCTTCTGTTCTTCAAATTGTAGCTATTGAATTATCTTTGCAAGAACAGAAGCAGCAGCAGCAGCAAACCGAGACAAAATCTTTATACCCATCTGTAGACACTCAGCATAGCCATCAAAAGCTCTCAAGAAAAGTGCGAGCCTTGTATGACTTTGAGGCAGTCGAGGATAATGAACTTACCTTTAAGAGTGGCGATATTATTGTTGTTTTGGATGACAGGTATGTCGGTATTTTATTATTTGTATTCAGATAGGGAATTATTGAACTTAAATGTGTCTTTTAATATGCCACTTGCACTTTGAACAACTGCTTCCAGACTTATTTCCAAACTCTTCTATGGACAAGGTTGATTCAGTTCAATAAACTACAATTTATTTACTATTCAGAAAATTTCCATAGCCATCGTTTTCAGTAAAAATGAACTGTCCTTATTTGAGCATAAATTCAGTGCAGATTCTTCAGCATCTCAAGAGAGATATGGTTTCATTGTTATTTAGGATATCTATACCATATAAATTTATTTTGTTAGGCCTTTTTTTCAGAATAACTTTTACTGAAAAATAGAATAATGATCTTAGAGCCATCCTGATAATTCCAATTTAATTATTGCTTATGGCTGCTTGGAGGATATTTTTGCCAGGAGGTTCTGAAAGAACAGTCTTCACCAGCTTTTGCAATTATATTACTCCCTTAGCTCACATTCCCTATTAATTGAACTTTTTGCCTTTGAACTTTTAGAGAGAGGTTAGTATCCTGATTTTTAACTTACTTTAACTATTAGCAAATAGAATAGAAAGTATGCTGATCAGTGTATGCTTGAGCATTATTTTTATGAAACGTTTTTAAAGTATGAAAATCCAGGTTAAATTTTAGTCTTTAAAAATGATTATTTTTTTATCTGCCTTGTCTGTAAAAAGTTGTCATTTTTTTTTTAAAAAAAGGGATAGGAACCACTCTTGTTCATGTATAGCTGGTACTGTTTGTGTATTCAAATCATGACCTACCATATTTTTCGGAGTATAAGAAGCATCTTTTTCACTCAAAAAAGAGGGTGAAAATCTGGGTGCGTCTTATACAATGAATACAGCATTTTTGGCCTCCCAAAACCCTGACCCCTTTACCAAAATGGCCATGCATAGCATTTAGGAGGCTTATGGAGTGCTCCTGGTGACTGGGGATGGCAAAAATGAGCCATTGCTCCCTCCCAGCCCCCAGGAGCACTCCATATGCCTCCTAAAGGCTATGCATGCCCTTTTTGTGGCAAAAAACGGACCCATTTTCACAAAAAAACAGGCCATTTTTGGGAGGTCTACAGAGTGCAAAAACTTTTTTTTTTAAATTTGCCTCTTGGTGGGTCTTATACTCCAGTGCATCTTGTACTCCGAAAAATACGGTACACCTTGTAATAAAGATAAAGTCCCAGTGTTAAAAACTATTCTAATTGCTATAACTCTACCCCACTTACAAAGTCTATTTAGAAAAATTATTGCCCTTAATTGTTTTGGATAAATTGGGTCTTTCTGAGCTAGATCAAAGAGAAAAACATAGGCGTTGCTAAGAGCTGTTTCTCATTAGTTTGCATTTCCTAATGGATAGGATCTCACGAACGTTTTTATAGCCATAGCTTTCCCCACCCTTGTGTCTTCTAGATGAATTGAAATTATAGCTCTCAGAATCCTTGGAGTTACCGTCCCAGCATATATTGAATACATTAGATTGGGAAGGTGACATGCATCATTTATTTAATCTTGTAAAAATAAAATGACAGCCATTTTGGTGAAGTAATGAAGGCACCAAGCTAGAAACCAGTAGACTGTGAGTTCTAGTTCCACCTTAAGCACAAAGGCAGCTGAGTGACCTTGGACTACAGTTTAGGATTGCGTGCTTGACTTTTCCTTAAATGAACTAAGTACAGAGGAAGGCAACATAATGCAGGTTTAAATAGTATTAACTGATGATTCTATGCTGAGGGTGGAAGAAGAACAAGAATCTTAACATCAGATAGAACATGGTTCTATTTTCATATGTGTGTTAAAATATCCTCTTTTTTTATTGTGCAGTGATGCCAATTGGTGGAAAGGAGAAAATCACAGAGGAATGGGATTGTTCCCTTCTAACTTTGTGACCCCTAACTTAAATGATGAGCCTGAAACAGGTAAACTGAATAGAAATTTGATTTTCAGAACATTTCAGGAGTCATATATATATAATATCATCCCATTCTTCAGGAAACTACTAAGAAACTGAATGATTTGTCCAAAACTGCTAAGTATGCTGGAAGGGTGTTAGTCTTCTGCCTTGTAATGCCCACTCCTGTTCTAATTGTTAACTCACTGTTACTTAATGTTCAATAATCAGAAGGTCTTGCACTTGCTGAGAAGTAATTTGTTTTGTGCCTGTTAATGGCGCATTGTTCTGGAGGTACATATGGAGATGATACGAATTGTATTCACGAAGAAAGTTTATTGTTAAATGTCATGTTCATGATCTAGTGTTTTTACTGTTGCCAGACAAAAGTATTATAATGTCATGAGTCAGACACTGCTATAATCATGATTGGAAGAGTAATTTGCTCTGAATTATGCATTTAGGTACAAAGTGCTTTTATATTTTAGAAGATACAGTTTGAAATCACACAAATGCAATTTAAAATTTATTTTATCTGTGTTTATATATTCTTCACCAGGGCTTTCCAGCCATTGGGGTTAATGAAAAATATCCCAAACTACCAAAACATATATTGAATATCCATGGATTGATTAGGTTATTAAGCCAAACATCTCAAGCATCAGGGTTTACAACAATAGTACCTATGTTACTAAACTATTAAATGCCTTCCAGTCTTTTATATTACCTTTATCCTGATATTTATTTTTATCTGTAACTTAACCTGTGTTATATAATGTATAATGTTTGCCATGCAAAAGTGTTTTTTTGCTTCTCCATCCATTAGGGTTTCTTGCCAAACACTACTTTATAAACATACCAGTGGTGGGTTGCAGTTGGTACGCCCCGGTACGCCCGTACCGGAGCCTGCCCGGAGCACCAGCTACTGTTCCAGTATGGTGTTGCAGAGGGCCCACTCCCACGCTCCTTACTTGTCTTTAAACCCTTTAGCGCTTCCGCGCACGGGCATGGCACATACAGTGCCTGCGTGATGCTCCGCCGAGTAGCTAGAGCATCACTGAGGCTTGCGGAGGTGTCGCTGGATGGTAAGACGCATGCGTGCACGCCGCATGTTTGCGCGCACACCTTGTGCATTCATGTTGAGGACTCTGGGCCCCGTTGCAACCGTACTAGTTGCACCGGGATCCGGAACCCACCACTGAAACATTCCCAAATATTTAAACAAGTCCTGAGCATTATCTCTTCCATATTAGCTGTCTTAGCTAAAAAGTTCAACTTCCAAAATTTGCCCTTCTGCTGTTTGCTTTTTAGTAATCGGAATTCTTAGGTCTGTCTCCGAATCTAAACAAGGGTTATATTAACAAAAAAATATTGTATGCCAAGAAACTAGATTTGGAGGAAGGCTAATGTTGTCATTGTCTTTACGCAGTGCCTATGGACAAGGATGCTTCTGAAGACACTACTGAAATTACAAAACCTGAGCCAGAGCCAGTGTATATAGATGAGGTATGTCTTGGCTTTCCACTGGCATAATACACTCTAGGCAGCTTTTTCTTTGAAGAAGCTACTATGCCCCCTTATCATAAAATAAATTTTGTAGTGGGTTTTGAGAATTTGAATTCTCAATTTGAATATCCTTCTAAATATATTTTCTCCGTCTTCCAGAATAAGATGGATAAGACACTGCAGTTACTTCAGAGCATAGATCCACAAGATCCTAAATCTGATTCTCCTGATCTTCTGGATTTAGAAGGTATCACTACTGCTACATATAATTTAAAAAAGAAATCCTAATCCAGACTTATTGTCCTTTTTATGTTTTTCATTTGTTAAACCAAGTCTGAAAGGCAGGTGAAATTCTCCTTTCATTTTGCATGCTAGGCAAAGCATCTATGCATTGCATTCACCTCAGTGCTTTTATTTATGAGCAATTAACTGATCGGATGTTTGTATTTTACTGTTCATAGATGTCTGTCAACAGATGGGTCCCATGATAGATGAAAAGCTAGAAGAAATTGATAGGTAAGGCAATTGTGTAATGCTTATAAATAAAAAAAATGCAATTTATATTTATGTAGTAGAGTAGATGAGCAAAAAATAAGATGGGTCATCAAACAGCCTCAAAAATTCAGATTACCTACATAGTGTAATAATTGTGAAAACTAAGCCCAAAGGACTGAGTATGGTACGTGACATATTATGCAAACTGGCATATGGCACATATTTAGAAATTAATAATTTATTTCCAAGAATCTTTGATTTCTAGGCTTTAATTTTTGAGGCTTTAATTTCTAGGCTGAAGTTTACTGAGGGTGTTTGATGCTCTTTGAGTTTGGTTATTTTCTTGCTGATGTTTCATTCATTTCATCATCACTTGGGTAGTGAAATGTCAGCAAGAAAACAGCCAAGCTCAGAGAGTACTAAGAATTCCTCATTTGAACCCTGAGCCACAAATATTCTTCCTTACGAAAATTTACTATACTCAAATTAAACAAAACCAAATTGATCAGTGATAACTGAAACTACTTCATTTGCTCGAATTAGGAAACATTCAGAATTGTCTGAACTAAATGTGAAAGTGATGGAAGCTTTGGAACTCTACAATAAACTAATGAATGAAACCCCTATGTATTCTGCATATTCAAAGATGCACTCAACGGCACAGTATGCACCCACGTCAGCCAGTGTTCCAGTGCAGGTCAGTGCCTTATTTTTACTTCTACTTTCTAGAAGGATTCCCTTCATATATAATGGCTGCTGCCATGCACACAAGAACAGATCACTGCAATATGAAGGACTTGAATGTCCACAAAGACTTTAAAGTTCTGCTGTAAGAACATGTTGGCATATGCTTAAGCAGATGTAGATCTTGCCTCTTAATTGCAGGTTTTCCATTAACCCTCAATCCAAATAATTCTTTTAGTTTCATGGTATTTGTCAGTTCTGTCTTCAGAACCCTTCAAAACAGCTCTCATAAGATATTGCAAAACTTTGTATGCAGTGGGAATGTTACGAGTCTCAGGATTAAATTAAACATGTCTCCATCAAAACTTAATAAGTGAGTAAACAGAGTTGCTTTCTCCAATATGACACAGATGGCGCATGTAAGACTTGCTGGGATAGCAGGCAAAATCTTGGGCATTGTGCATGACTCTCCTCCCAAACACGTGAGCTGCTTCATAGATGACATTTCCACGTATATATCAGTGCATCTTGTGTTGCTTTTGATATACACCACTACACTGAATCTACATCCCCTTTGGTTTATTTAGTTTGTTTTTCCTAAAGGAATTGCTGGGGGATGGAGTTTGAGGAAAAGTTAGAAGCGCAATTAAATGAAAAAAATGTTGCGTATTTTAGATCGATTTTACATAATACAGTATGAAAAGAATAGTTACTATGGTAACTGCCACAGTACATTCATCTGTTATATTTTCCATGAGCTCTTTGAAATGATTGACAGTATTTGGGGATGTGAGGGAAAATAGTGAGCATTAGATGAACTAATATTCCTCTCATTTCAAGGTAATATTGTATTCAGTTGAAGAGTACAGAACAATAAGGGAACATCTATATTTAAAAGAGCAAATATTTTTATAATATTATTTAATCTCTAACACACTGTTGAATCCTGAAGCAATCATTTTCTGTAAAAATGCTTGCTATATTTCTTCAATATTTTCTTCTGTCTATATTTATTTGTTCATTTAAATGGTTTTAAAACTATGTTTAGAAAAAAATCTCTTAAAGCAGAACATAGCATTTAAAGTCACAGCTGTGATATAAATAACATTTTATTAAAATACATTTATTGCTAATAAATCAAGCATTTATTTAACTCTGTTATAAATTCTGAACTGATAAAAAGATATTTAAGTACTCTATAACATATTTATCTCATTCTAACAGATTTTGGAAAAAAATAGTTTTATTGCCATCTACATTATTCTGATAATCCTATGACATTAGTCTGAGAGACTAAAATTGCCCTATGCTTATTTTATAAGCTTGGTAGCTTTAATAATGTCCTGATGTAACTTATTACTTCAGTGTAGCAGAAATATAAAGCAGGCTGCATGAAATCTGTCATAATGGACAATGGCATTTCTTCTTGAGCTAAAATCATATTCAGTCTGGCATATTGAAGGTTGCATTAAAAATGGGCAGAGTTGGAGCAAGAAGAAACTAACATCACTTAATTTTCTCAACTGAGCTACCTTCTTCATTACTAATTTCCAAAGTGGGTGTGGGTATATACATGCTATAACTAGATAAATCAGATAAGCCCTTGATAAAGATGGTAGCCACAGAAGAACTGCAACAAAGCTTCAGTTCTATTAAATAAGAATACAAAAACTGTAGTGACCTTAAAATAGTGAAAGCAGGATGCAGTGATCTGCAAATTGCTTCATATCACATAGGTCAATGGATCCTTTACAGCATATGGGTCCTTTACAGTGCACCAACTGTGCCACAAGCATGACCCCTGGTGCCCCTCCCCCCCGCATCTTTTCTGAAAAAACTCCTACAAATGATTCTTGCAAACTTTGAAGATTCATGGATTCATTCAGTGATAACACTATTTCACTTCTCTTGTAGGGAAATCTCTTTCCCTCCTCTTCCCATCTCTTCCATGTTCAGAGCAGTTTCAGAGAGTCCTCATCTGTCTGTACCTAGCAGACTTGAAAGATTATTTTGGTAATAAAAAATATTGGTTCTGTCCGCATGGTATTGGTGCGCTATTTGGTTCTTGTATTAATGACAAATAGAAGAGTTACTGCTCCTTTCTTTTTAGAAATATCCTTTGTGCTTCAGAAGATCAGTTCTGTTCTGTTTCCTTTGCAGTCATATCCCATCCATCCTCACAGTGGGAATTATGTGGTCCATGGTATGCCTCAAAGCTATAATCCAGGAAGTGATCAGATTGGTTCACTGAGGTCTTTACCTCCAACCATGAATTCATCAGTAACATCTCAGCCTGCTCCAACCTACATGAGGTAACCCATGAGCAAGTTTTAGCAAATCGGCTTTATCCCCATCTCTCCATTATGCTTGTGGGGTTTCCTTAGGCTAATGTCTTCATTGTATTTCAGCCCTGGTCTAGATTCTGTGCCCAGTTCTACTTACATGAACCAGAATTCTTGCCTCCCGCCTGCTGGTCCCGTTTCTTATGCCCAGCCGATGACCATGGATATGCTAGCCTACCAGAACACTGCATCCAGTTTGCCTCAAGGTCCATGCTATCCAGCAGTTCCCACTCATTCACTTCCACAGCAGCAAACAAATTATCACCAGCAGCCTCTCCTGTGAAAATGCAGAGTCGGAGCCTGGGAAGCGTTTTAGATGTTGCTGACCCGTAATCTTTTAAATTGTCCTTCCATTGATTTAAAAGGATACTTCTGCTGAAGGGAACAGACAACTAAGCAATTTCAAAGTAAATGTTAATTCAGGCTTAACTGTTTTTCTGCATAGCTGTTTAAACTAGGTGAGCTGCGGTTGTGTTTTTTTAAAAAAAGCTTTCCAATCCTGACTTCTGTAATATTCTATGTCTCCTCGCTATTTATAAAAATGCCACTTCAATTTTCCCCTCATAAGACAAGCTTGAAAATGAAGCTGATATATGCAACTCCTGTTTGTTCTTTCCAGACTTTGGGAACATAGTAATTGTTTTTTAATGGAAGCCTTAACATTTGAAGTGCTTTCTTTGAAACTCAGTTTAATTGGTTAGTTTGGATTTTGATTTACACCCTTTTGAGATCATAATCTTAACAAGATTGTCTTTTGAGATTATACAATAAAGTCTTTACCAACCTGAGAGGAAAACTTACACACACACACACACACACACACTTTCAATGTCAGAGAAATTAATGAATTTTATCTGCCAGAATGGATTTCTTACTTGCTTTTCTCAAAAAGTAGTGGAGTAATATTCTCTATCCGAAGACGGAGAGTTTAAAGAGTACATTTTTAACTTCATAAATTCCTAACGCAAATGGACCTGATCACATCTAGATCAGTCTTTTCTCTCTGTTCTCATTCCCTGGCATTACTGAACATGAAGGAGAAGCTGATAATTATGCTGTACTGTAGGATTTATGGGCTGCTTTTGTTTTAATCCTAACTGGTAAAATACACATTGTGTAAGGGAGAGCGAAAAAGGATATGGCAATGTATTTTTCTATTGTTGAGAGGTCAAAAAGAATTCCTGACCAGGTTTTTAAAAAGAAACATTTTCTGTTCTGGATACTTGTTCATTTCTTGCTGCTCATGGATGTTATCCTATTAATAACACGATTATTTTGAGGGAGGAAAAATAGATCTTGCATACACTATAGTTGAAAATGGGAATGGACACATTATTAAAATAAGCAGAAAAGTAGAAAGTCAGTGCAAAGAAACCATTGGCATTTTATACTATGCTCTGAAGAATTATTCTGCAGTATCTGGTGCCTGTTGTATCTATCATCAAATGAGACCCATTTTTCACTTCCAATATTGGTGCTAAGTAAGCTATTTAGATTTCTGGTAATATAGTGATCCGGACAATGATGTCTTTGAGAGGGCGGTTTCAGAAAAACATAGCTGTTGTTCATCTCTTTCTATCAACAAGAACACTTGGCTTTTCCTTTTTGGTATTGGGTTTGTTTTAATCTCAACAATGTTTAATTTTAAAGGCTGTTTTTTAAAATTTTATTTAGAACCAAATCCAGGTTTTCTCATTCAGCTCCAACGTTTTATAAACAAAACGAGGATTTTGAATAGTGCATTGCTCTTCCACGTTGATACATTATTAGATGGTCCATTTATATTGATCACAATCTTTGATACTACTTTAAGCGGTACCCAATATCTGACTGTGATGTTGAGTTGAAACAGTCTTTTTTTCACTGCATTTTCTCCTTTATATATAATGTATAAATAAATGTGTGTATATATATCCACTGGTCTGAGATTTTATACACAACTATATATATATACTAATTCTCTCCAATCACTGAAGTTTTATAGATAGCTGCGTTTGGCTCTATTGTTAATTGGTGTAATCTTAAAATGCATTTATGCAGGCTGTAAATATGTATAAATTCTGATGTTCAAGTGGTGTATTTAGTGTTTCGGTGTCAGTAGGGATCATGTTTCTTCCCTTTTCTAAACTAAAATATTTATTGTTAAGGCATGATTATAATGATGCTACCAAAGGAATTAACAACATATTTCCATAGTTAGGGCCCAGACTTTCATTTGCATCAGTGAGTATTTAGCCATTGATTTGAATGGAATTTCAACTACACTGCAGACATATACCTATTTTTATATTAAGAGTAAACAATACTTGCTTTGCTTGACATACATTAACTGAATAAATAGAAATTCTTTACAGTTCATAATGAGTGTTGTTTGGTAATTTGCTTTGTGGGCGTTCAATTAAGGTTCACTTTATGTTTAGAAATAATTTGCTATCTTAAATTTGTATTTGAAATGTTGCCCAAGATAATTGTCCAAACTATATCACCATATGTCTCAGTTTTTTTCTTTACAGAGATTCATTCTTAAATAGCCTTGTGATTTCAAAGGCTATGGAGTCCAAATATTTTCATATTTCCTTTTGCCATGCCCCACCCCTTATTAAAGTTGCAAGAGTTTTAAATATCCCTTATTACAGTGACTCCCAACCTTTTGGGCACCAGGGACCGGTTTGGTGGAAAGAGGTTTTTCTGCAGATCAGAGCGGGCATGGTTTCGCATGCTGCTTGCATCCCATGGATGGAGCTTCGTGGACCAGTTTCTGGCATACCGAGGACTGGAAGCTGGGGGCCCCCTGCCTTATTACTTTTGTGCTGACATGGTTTTCCAGAAAATAAAAGCGCCTAGAAATGTAATACTTCCTTTGCTGCCCCTTAACCAATTTAATCAGTGCTGCCCCTTAACCAATTTAATGGGAACCAGTGTTGGAATTATCCTCCCCCCAAATTTTATACAAGCCCTTCATAGCTATTGCTGATTAGATTGGGGAGACATGCAGAATGGGTACAAAGAGGAAAGCAAAAGGATACATAGAATCATAGGGCAGGAAGGGACCTTGGAGGTCTCCTAATCCAACCCTCACCAAGCCAGGAGATCTTATATCATCTAGGACGAGTACCATATTTTCCGGACTATAAGACGCACCAGAGTATAAGACACACTATGATTTTGAAGAGGTAAATTTTAAAAAAGTTTTTGCATTCTGCAGGCCTCCTAACCCTCTGCCCACCTCGGTTTTTGCACAAAAAGGGGGGGGGGGCATGCAGAGCTTTGGGAGGTTTGTAGAGTGCTCCTAGGGGCTGGGGGGGGGGACGACAAGCAAAAACCAGGCTGTTTTGTGGGGGAAGGGCATACAGAGACTTTGGGAGACTTATAAAGTGCTCCTGGAAGCTGG